AGCCGGCTGCTACATTGACAACATCCGTTTGAACGGATAATTTTTTCGTACGTATGAAAAATCCCACACATATGCCTGCATCGCTGTAGAGTCGAGAGGTTTACCCATATTAACGCAGTCATCGCTGACTTCAAACTGGGTAACAGGGATGCAGAAACATCCAGGAGGTACAAGTACGACACAGTAATAAACAGTGTCGTTTTGTACACGAGATCAAAGAATGATCTGTTGTGATCAACAGTGACACTGTACTGGAATATAAAAGAAAAACGCCAAGTGTTAAATCAGAAGAAGTAAATGCTGTCAGCCGCAGATCGTTGTTGACATTTATGCCATCTCTCCTCGGACTTCGAACTTATTTGAGAAAGAAAGTCCCAAGTATTTAAGAGAGCTGATACTAGAGGGCAGTAGCTATACTATGATCCACTGTGAATTAAGATGGAAGAATAGGTGCGTGAATGATTTCAAGTGATCGAAATAAATATTTTATATGAATGGTAAAGTTAAAAACTATGGAAAATTTGAAGTATAAGTCTTTTGTGTAGAGTAATTTAATTTTCGTACATTTTTTTTGGCTTAATGTTGTATTATATGCATGTTGGAATGCGTTAAATCTGGTTTAACCTTGAACGTGATTATATTCATATCAAAAACATAAATGTAACTTCTTTGGCCTTGACTTGTTCATTTCCTGTTACAGCAGTGACAAGATCGTATGTGATTTTTTGTTTAATTATAAAACGTGTGTTTTAAAAGTGGGTTAATAATTTTATTAGTAGTTTAAATTTTCATGTAGTAGTTAACACTTCATTTACGTAAAACTACGCAACTGAAATTGTCGTACCTGCAATAACACTATGCATTGTGCATTATCCATTTCTTTCGATATAGAGGGCGTGTTTTCATTCGGTTGGCACCTCTAGAAGATTTTATTTCTACGTATTGATAGCGTTTGCATGAGCTTATACACCTTCACACTCTGTTTCTGTACAATCGATTTTGTTGTTAGTGAAATTTCAGGTTCTCACGGCGGCGTGCATCAAGGTCTTCCGGGATGTTGCGAAATGTAGTCTGATAGAAGTTTACCGACGTTTCAGAGGTGCTTGCTGCTTCCAACACGAGGGTTCCCTGATGATGATTCACTCATTGTCCTGATGATGGAGGCAGTAAGCACTTATGAAACGTCGGTAAATTTATGACAGACGACATGGCACAACATTCCAGAAGGTAGTTATTTACACGTTGGTCAAGTTTTCTATGAAGTATGCTACCGGAAATTGTTTATTTTATCTCCATTGTACATAAAACTTGTCTTCGTATACGAATTGGCCAAACATTATACACTAAAAAAAACATATAAACTTACTGAAAATTGCAGCTTAGTAGTTAGCACTCCTCTCCCTTTTACAGGAGGTCCTTGGTTGAAATCTTGGTCCAGGGACTGGCTTTCCTGACAGAGGTTTTTCTCATACTCTCCAGGAAAATGCCAGGCTAGAGCCTTAAATTTTTCCAGGACCACTTTTTTTTATATCCTTTCTGATGCATTAGTCATTAATTATGCCATCATGCAATGCTTTATATTCTGTATTAGTATTTGAGGTTTACAGGGTGGTGAGTCCAAAGATGGCTGTCTTGTGGGTTATAGTGCCATGTAGTATAGTAGAAGTTTGCTGATGTTTCAGAGGTCCTTGCAGCCCTGATGATGGAGGCAACAAGGACCTCTGAAATTTTGGTAAACTTCTACCAGATTACATGTCACTACAACCCAGAAGACATCCATCTTCCCGTGTGTTCTGAGCTACTGACAGCATCATTAAACCACAAATAAATAAAACAAATAGTTTGAACTTTTTTTTTCTCTTTAGTTCTGGTTAGGTTGTTGTGGGTCTACGCCTCCTCCGTTCGGAGCTTACCTAGTCTTTGAAGTGTGCATTTGTGAATAGCGAGTGACCAGCCCACTGACTGTACAATTTCTACTCAATTCTGATTTGACTGCTAGAGCCATCTAGCAGTTAATCATGAGATACTTGGGTGAGAAGTGGCCGCTGAATTTTGCTTAGGAAACATCTCGTTCATGCTCGTAAGGTTCTTTTACATGCCGTAAATCTACAACTTGGGACCGCCAGCTTTACTTCCCCTCTGAAGGAAGTTGTGCTACAGATTTTTATCACCCTTAAAAATCCATCGACCTCAGCTGGGTTCGAACCCGCCAACCTTGGGATCGGTGGTTACGTGGCATACTGTGGCAGACATGTCTCAAAATTCTGAGTATGATTTAGTGATAATAATGAAATCATAACTTTTGTTCTCACAAGAAATCTTATTTACTTGAAACACTGCCATTTATAATCTAATAGTCTTTTAAGCTTTTTGTAGTTATATGATTCTTCATTTCTGGGAATTTTCTAAGCATGATTTCTTGGGAACGGGCAGGAAGCTGGCTTAAAAATAACAGTACAGTCATAACATGTGTAAATCTTAAAATGGTCCACATCCTGTGTCTGCTGCCTTAATCAGTTCTGCCATATGCATGCATGATGTAAAATTTCTCGGTAGCTTGAAAGATAATAGAATACGCGGAACTTCATTAAAATTAATCACAGGACCTCGTTTGGGAGTAAAACTTTTGATATGAGTAGTTCTGACTACTGTAGGTCTGAATTTTATTAACCCTCTTCTGTCTTTTGAATCTGCAGTTTATACGTGTTCCAAGTGTTCATATACTATGATGGTAAGAATGCTTTTAATTGGACATTGCGATCAGCTATTTTAAGAGATTCGAGTTTTAATTACCAACTATAATTTTTGTAAGTATGATTTCATTACTAACCAGAATATGTAATTTTTCACATGAAACTGACAAGTCTTCTGGGTGGTTGTGCGATGTAGTCTGGTGGAATTTTACATACATACATCTTTATTACATTCCATGGATCCATAAGTTAGTCAGATGACAATAGGATGTAGAATAAGTCATAATAATACAATACATGTTATACAAATACAAGTCACAAAATACAAACAAAGGGTTCACATGAGTAGAGATAAGTTACAAATAAATCCACCCATTATATACAATAGATAAATTATGACTTACTTGTAAACATTAGAAATTCATTGACAGAGTAAAAGGAGTGTGTAATTAAGTATCTTTTCAATGCTAGTTTAAATTGTGCCTTTTTATTTACAAGACTTGTGAGATTTGATGGTAGACTGTTGAAAATTTTGATCCCTGCATAATATGCACTCTTCTGAAAACATGAGAGGTTGGCAATTGGTCTATGAAGCTGATTTTTATTCCTTGTGTTGACACTGTGTATAGCAGAATTAGTTTGAAAATGTTCTTGGTTATTTACAATAAAGTTCATAAAGAGTGAAAATAGGCAAAATATACTGATCTGAGTGTGTCAGTGTTGCTGACATACAACATAGATTTAACTGCGTAACATGCTCCGCTTAACTTAGGTATCAGTTTATCAATATGATTTGTCCAGTTCAGATGGTTATCAATTTGCAAACCCAGGAACTTTGTATTTACTGACTCTTGTATATACCTTCCATTATAACCAATACTTAAAGCAAGTTCTGAGTTTCTTGCTGCCTCTGAAACATTACCAGACCTCTACCAGACTATATGACGCAACAACCTAGAAGACAGTCATCCTTGTTATTAATACTGAACTTTGAGTTCATAGTATAATTACAGGTTGTTTTGGGGAGTCGTGTTGTTTTTGTGTTCAGAAAATATCTCAGGAATGTAGATAGTAGTCTACTTGTTGTTTTTATTAAACCTATTTAGAGTGTGCGCAGCATTAAAACATGGAGACAGTGTAAACATGCCATTGCGATGAGATGAGCGTACAATCATCGTGTCAATATTAACTTACTGATAATTTGTCATTATTTATCAAGCTAAATCAAACAAGGAAATGAAATTTTTTACAGCAGTATGAGTTGCTATCGGAACAGTAAAAGCTGACAGCAATCTGGTTGTACGTGATCAATTGAAATTATGTTCAACTGATATTTTATCTTTATGTACTGAAGTTCAAACAGAGGTCTTAGTATGAGGACTGGGTTCAGGACAGGATCTTATGGCAGACTCTGTTGAACATGGAAATGAAAATTCGCGTTACACTAAAGGTTGGGGGATTTTTTTAGTGGCTTCTCTAGAAGGTCTGTACTTCATGGAGTTTTTTCTTAGAAGATAAAAATGTATGTTTATAAAAGTATAAGGAATTATGTCGGTTAGATGATCTGAGTGCGCTTCTCAGACATCACCATACAATCTGGCATGTAAGTTCAGAAACTGAATCATAGTGTGTGCAGGAGTGACATTATTTCATTAATTAATTTTATCGAGGAAGTCACATAGTATTTATTGTTTTTTTTATTCTTACATTCTTCGTCTTTTGTTTGTTTCAGAATTATGGCCTGTATGAGTTAAAGTCTATACAGTGTGACTTGGAATTTATTCACTACACAGTGCATGGAGTTAAGCTTTAGTGGAAGAACCAAACACACAATGACTTAATACGACATAATTTTCATTGTACAACCAAGAATTTACAACATGCCACTTACAGCTGATTCTGATGCACCAGGTGTGGATATATTTTAATTATGTTAAGTAACCACAACATTGTATTGCGATAGAAGTCAGCTTTTAATTTGTTTACCCTTAAAACCTATGTTATTTTATTTGATTGGGTCTATTATTATGAATGTGTATGGGTGCGGGTACTTTATTATTTTACATAGACTTCGCTGCGAAAATTAATGTGCTGTTAAAGTCATTAAAGATGTTTAACAGGCTATGTTTTTTCCCACCTAATCATTGTTTTAATCTTATAAATAATATGTTGTAAGATTTGAGGTTTTCACAGCGGTGAGTATGAAGATTTCTGTCTTCTGGGTTGTTGCGCTGTGAAATCTTCAAATAATGTGTTGGTTAAAGCTGTGGGCTTTGTTTACATCTCGCTTTTAATTAAATCTTGTCAGACACCTTTGCTCCTTTTAAATTTGGTTTTAGCTAAATCAGAATCACCATATATCAGGACTCTGTTGTTTCACAATTTTGTTTACTGAGTCACTTTAGAAACTTATTTTATGTTACCAAAGATAAATGCTGGCAAATTCTTTTCTCACATCTGTACTTTTCATCTTTAGTTACTACCGTGTTCTAAGTTTTGTAGTACATGGTACTTGGAATTTCCTTGTCATGTATTTAAATATATTTATATTTAAATTATATATAAACTGTGCTCATATTTAATATAAATGTTTTTTTGTTTATACGACCGTACCGATCATGCATTATAATGGTCCATACCTAAATGATATGACAGTCTGAGCACAATATATATGTTAATGTACAGGAAAATTGAAGTCAGGTATTCCTAACTTATGCACATCATAAGCTTGAAATAACATTTTATCATTTTAAATTTATGGAATATTTATTAAAAAAAATCAAAGCTTTAGGGTTATTCAGAATGACACTTGTTTGTGTCATAATACATTAGATTTTCTAAATTAATTTTTAAATACCCCCAATTAATCTTCCCCACATAATCAGGAATCTGCTGTCTTTAATTTTTGATGTGTTTTATGCACAATATTTTTATACTCACACCAATCGCGGAACACGTGTCCTCCCATCTCGTTCGTCTCTCTTAGTACCTGGTGCAGCGTTCTCTTCAGACATGTTGCTACATTTCATATCTATTTATGTGTTCCATTTGCATATTTCTTTTGAAAATTTTATTTTATTTTGTTACTGCGTGCCTAGTTTGCTTTTTTATGTTCAGATCAAAGCAGTAAAATTTAAGCTTAAATATTCTGTTTGTACTTTTTGATGTGCCGCTAAATAAATTGGCTTTTAAGTGCATGTGTCACCCTTAAGGGTTTAACTGACATTTTTAGTGCCTACTAACATACCTTTATATGTGAGAATTGCGTATCATTTATTTTATAATTGTATGGATATTTTGCGTAACTTTTCTTTTATGGTTTTAGTATCTTTGAAAATAGTTAATTGTAAATTTTGGCAGTAGAGTATCTTATTTTTAAATGAATGATAATTAGAAGCTGTAAATCTTACTTAATATTTTGTCAAGAATGATGCAGTGTGAATAATAATATACACATTTCTTATATTGTGCTTCACATCCAAAATCTGAAAGTAATTAATCACGTCAGAAGGCCAAGGAATCTTGATTTCCTTTTTGTTTTTTGTTTTACCATTCAGTCTTTTATAGTGTTTCTCAGTCCTTTTTAGAATTTTCTGATTAGATGAATGTATTTGTTAAAATTCTACACTAGTGGTCCACAACCTTTTTGTGCCTACGGGCACATTTGAGAGTTTATGAGATCGTGGTGGGCACCAACCAATTAAAGCCAAATTTTCTTTTCTCTGGACAAATAAGATATGGATACCAAATAATACACAAAACAATACGACGTTTAATGATACAAGCAACCATGCAATAAAAAATACATACTTTTATAAGTACAATTATTATTACTCAAGTGGGAAGTTAGTGTGATGTTTGGCGCTGCATTTCATCGGCCAGTTTTTCAAATTTGGGAGTGTAGGATGATGTTGCTGCTCGCAAACAATCGTCAAGATGGGGGTCAGTAAGTCGAGATCTGCGCTTTGATTTTATAATGTTCCTGGTTGAACGGCCTTCATTATTCAGCGTAACCTCTTTCCGTATCAATGCAGGCACCCAAAAAAAGCCTTGGCGAGCGCCATGGCATCCGCAGACACCGCGTTGGGGACCACTGCTGTAGACCATTGAGATATAAAGCTTCATTAATCTAAAGTTTTATCTGTATACAGCAGTTTCAGAGGATTATAACAGTAGGTGGGTAGATGGATTAAAATAATATTTTAATCAATTCTCACAACACGAAGCTTATATAATCTTATGTTTCAGTAATAATTTTATCATTGTCGCTTGTGGTATATGCTGTTAACAGAGAGTCGGAGTATAACAGACAGTGTCGGTAGTCATAGTGATACCTCAGGGCATACTACAGTCACATCTCATCAAGTGCAGAGACCAAGAATGGATGTTGTGTGTGTCATTGATGTGCACCAACCAGAACATCTGGCTCATAGGAAACGGGCTTTAGATGAAGTACGACAAGCCTGTGTTTTGGTGAATGCCAACATGAACCACATCCAGGTAAGTTTTTACAGTATCTTTTAACGCTGAAATTAATATCTTTAAAGCCTTCGCGTAATGGAATCCCAAGAGACCTGAATAATTTTCCATTTCAAATAGGTTTCTGGGTACTTGTGGGTTATTGGGACACATCGCTTTAAAAATAGGTTATGTTAGGTTAGGTTAGGTTAATGTGTGTGGACAGCAATAAATAACTGAATGAACTAACAGATGACAACAACCCTAACCTAACCTAACCTAACTTATTTTTAAAGCAATGTGTCCCGATAACCCACAAGTACCGGTTTCTGTTTAACATGGGTTCCTACCCATTTATGGATAAAATGATAGTATAGATTCTAGTTTTTTATGGCACAAATCAGGTACCAGATATTTATGCTGTGTGTACATTCCTCGTGTTTCTCCCTCCAAAGACTAGTCAAGATGTGTGTGAGCTCGTATTGGCTCACTCACAAACCTGTTTCAGCTGCGTGATCATTAAAACAGAATGTTTGCTTAGTTATTCTTTCTTGGACAGTGAAGTTGTATTTTCTTCAAATTTATTTTCTCTGTAGCAGATTTCACATCGCTGAATCCACCTATTCACTTATATTTTGACGCGCACACAATGAGAACTTTTGAAAGGTGATAACCACTATCAAAATATATACACAAAATATTGTTTTGTTCATATCTAGTGACTTCCAGCTGAAGTGAAGTCAGGACCATTATTCATCATCTGTGTGCATTATTGGAATATAATAAAATCAGTCCTGTAATTTTATAATCAGCCCTCGTACAGTGTTTGTTATGTCCGTTTAAACTGACGTGAGAGTACTTTAATATGAAGAAAAATATCATCATTATTTTCTCTGCAGTTTGAGAAACTTGACTTTGGTGAGACTAATGTGTTGGATACATTCTACAATGCGGATGTTGCGGTCGTTGATTTATCTGTCCAACTTCAACAAAGTGCCTTATTCTATCATCTTGGTGTACGAGAGAGTTTCGGAATGAAAGAGAATATACTTCTGTATAATGATTATGATACAGAAGCAACATTGAGACTGAAGGTAAGGGGGAAAAAATAAAACACGACACTTCCCTGTCGTTATATGTTGTGCATTGAACGCTAACTTCTTTCCTGATCATTCTCCTAAAATTATTCCTTCTCATTGAATATTTTAAATGTCCTACAAGTTGTTTTGTGATTACAGGTAGCTTAGTTTGACTCAGCCATTTTGATTTCAGATATCATGCGGCAGCTACACATTTGTGTCTTACCGGTTAGTGGAATTCGGAACGTGCGTCACCACAAACCCGACTCCTGTCAGTGTCCCTGGAGTGGAGAATCCAGTGGACCCCAAACAGCATCTTACTATTAAACTGAAGAAGTTGTTGCAAGATGTTGAGGTGCAGTCGAAGTAAGTAATATGTCACATGAAAATATTCTAAATATGCAGAATGTTTGTTGAGGAGTTGATAGTTACAAACTGACAAGAAATTCCCTCTTTTAAAACCTGCGTGTTTGTTACATTGGTCACAAAAACCTTCCATTGGTCTGTATCATGTATTAGTTCTGCACTAATTTTGTTTTCAGGGCTGAAGTGGCCACTTAACACTGAAAATGGAGACAGTATGTTTCTCCGAAATGTCGGCATCTACATACAAGTTTACACAGTGCTAAAACCCAGAACATTAGTATCATTTACTTATTTTGTTGCAGCAAAGAAAGTGATGTGATTTTTCTTTTAGTCAAGTTACTTGACGCTCACTGTATGAGTAACAGAGTTACTGATTAGTAAATTATAGTTTCCTAAATATATTTAAGTGTTTCACATTATAGCTTATGCTTCTTCTTCTTCTTCTATGGCTCTCCGGTCCGTATTCGGTCCATGGCCTCCTCAATTCTCCTCTTCCATTCAGTCCTCTGTTAGGTCCGTCTGTCCGAGGCCTTGATTGAGGTTTCGAAACGTCTTCCTTTTTACGGTGCAAGGTTGTTAGCCTTGCGACCAACCCCCAACCTGGAGGACCAGGGTACCTGTCTTAGTCTGACCTCTCCCCATCAACCAATCTGGCTAGGGAGGCCCTATCAGTAGCTCAGGGTCACTGAGGTACTCAAGCCCCACCACCACGACAAGGTGCAATACACACACACATATGTACAAACTGAGTGTTGATTTAAGTGACCAATCAAAAATATCACTCTTTTTAGATTCCTGTATGTTTGAATATAAAAAAACATGGAGTTCGTAATAATGAGAGGCACATATAATTTCCCACTTGATGGCCATGATTTTTATGTGCCTTCAGTGATTGGTTGAGCATGTTTTTATTCTTTATTCTTATTTGTAATAACATGTTTTACTTTGACTTTAGGGCACACATGAAGGAGAAATTTCTGTCGGACTTGCGCAAGGCAAGAGAGTTGTATTCTGGTGATGAGTTAGCGAAGGCTCTTCATAATATGAGGAAACGACTGGACGACCCCAATGTCTTGTCTGGAGAAGTGGTACTGAATGTCCTTATTTCATTCAGAGAAATTCAAGATTATGATGCCATGGTACAGCTGGTTGATGATCTGAAAACAATTCCGAATAAAAAAAATTACATCAGCACACCAGCCATCAGATATCTTTATGCATTTGCCTTGAATAGGTATTTAATTTGTTTTCAGTGACTTTACATTTTTTTTAAAATGCCTTTAACGTTATCAATAGAAATCACATAGCATTAGGTATTATGGAATAGTTGTGCCTGGATATGCAGGGTTTGATTATCATGGTCAATTATGAAGTTGGCAAAAATTAATGATTCATGTTGTGTTACAGGCGGAACAAAGAAGGAGACCGGGAAAATGCTCTCCGCGTAATTGAAAAAGCACTTGAGAAGAAGGAGAACCACGTTCCTGATATGTTGTGTCTGTGTGGACGAATTTACAAAGACAAGTTTGTGGAATCGCGCCATACAGACGAAGACAGTCTCAAAAATGCAATTCGCTGGTACCGGAAGGGTTTTGAGGTACAACCCAATGAATATGCTGGTATTAATTTGGCGACATTGCTGGTTATCGCAGGCAATGAGTTTTCAAAGTCGGAAGAACTTCAGCATATAGGTACGTTATATTGATTACCTTTTCACTTGATCTTATCTGTAATAATATTCAACTTGATTTACATGATAAACATTACATCTAGAGTCGAACAAGTCATTCCTCCAGAATATAGCTGCTGTCATTGATTTGAATTAAAATTTGTCAGAAATTAAATATTTTCCTCCCAAAGTTTTCCTTCCTTGATTTGTACATTAACACCCATTCCTGAAAAATCTGAGAAAAATTTTCTATTTTGAATACTGTTCTCATTAATTTATTTTTAGTATTATAAGTTGAATTTTAAAGTCAGTTTTTACATTCTGTTCTCATTAAGTTATTTTTAGTATTATAAGTTGAATTTTAAGACTGCGGAGAAAGAAAAATTGTTATCCTTATTTCCCAAAATTATCGCCAGTAACTAACTAACTAGATGGCTTACCAAACCCGAAGGTTCGTCCCCGAATTAACCAAAGCCCTCCACCAGACCCTGTCCTGGGCCAACAATATCCAGTCTCCTTCAACTCCTATCTCCCATAGATCCTGTCCAAGATTATCCTCCCATTGATGTCTAGGTACAAAGATTAAAACTTTCCCGAAATTAATATTTTATAAATAAGGTATTAAAAAGTATCAAATTTAATTCCACTGAGTAATGTTTTCACAGATAAATAACCAAAAATGACTTATGTTTAGGTATGGTACTGAACAATTTAATAGGAAAGAAAGGTAGTTTATCATCCCTTCAAGACTACTGGGATGTTGCTACATTCTTTGAAATTAGCGTTCTTGCTGAAGACCATTCTAAGGCAATACAGGCAGCAGAATGTATGTTCAAATTGAAACCACCTAATTGGTAAGTGGACAGCTTTATTACGGATTTGTTTCCATTTTAGCATCGTAACTGCTTTGTAGCCGACTAGAACAAGGAAATAATATTAATATTATAATTTTATATTGGATTTTTTTTTTGAAGTTATATGGGGGAAAATGTAACATATCAGCATGTTACAAAACTTAGTCAGTAAAGTGATTTCGTACTAGTATGAGCTGAAAATATTTCTTAGTAAATGTCTTTGCTATATATATGTGGCTACTAGGAGGTTAACATAGTGCCCCTGAAGAATAGGTATGATGAAAATTTTCCAGTTTGTTTAGGTAAGTACATTTAAGTTTGGTGTTGAAGTATTTACACAACTTTTTATTTAATTATCAGGAAATTACAAGCGCATTGTCTGCTCGAACTAAAACTTTTTACACAGATTTTTAATTAGTTTTCAGTCATTTAAATGCGCGTTGTCCACTTGCACAGGTACCTGAAATCAACAATAGGCAACATTTCACTGATAGATCGCTTTCGCAAGAACGGAGATTCGGAAGCGTCTCCGGAACAACAAGTGTTTCAGTTTTGGGTTGAGTACTTCGTAGAAGCAACTAAGACTGAAGTTGGGGACTGTATTCGCTTTCCTGTAAGTATAGGACAGAATTAATGTGAACTTCATTTTAAAAGATTTAATTGCTGTTTCAGAAAATATTAATTAATTACACAATGCTTCTTAGTACTGTTTAAAACTGTCTGCTTTCATATGACTTATATAATAATGCCACGAAGAATATTTGAACCAAAGAAACGGAATGTAACAAAATGTGGAGTAGATTACATAATGAGCTTTACAGTTTGCACTCTTCATCTAATTTGTTATGGTGAATAAGGATGTTGACATGTATGGTACGGGTGGCACACTGAAAGATAATTAGAAAGAAATAAAAAATATTGGCTGAAAAACCTAAAGGGAAGAGATCATTTTGACTCTGAATAATATGCTGGAGATGGGGGGGGGGGGAATTGGTGCCACCAAAATGTTGGTAATTACAAGGATACATAATACAACTCAGAAGACCATAATTCAAGGTATTTGGTCTGCACAATTGCAATTAATATTGAATTTTATTCTTTCTTCAGATGCTGGTTTTAGAACCAACAAAAATCCTCATGCCTAGCTATGTTAATGTGAATCTAGGGGCTGAAGAGAAATCAGTTCAGATTTGGAACTTGTGCTTAGACAGTATGAAGGGGAGCTGCCGTCAAGTTCACGATTGGTTGTTCACAGCCAGCATGATTCGCAGTGTGAGGTAAGATAAGTTGCTTTTGTAACTTACGTCTTTTGAAAGGAAATTGATACATCTGTGTGTTCCTTGACAAGAATGATCAAGGCAGTCGATACTCCCCGATGATATTTGGTAGCTTGAGTGGCAAGTGTCGACCTGTTGATACAACTGTTAATTAAATGTCAAGCTGAAATGGAATATTTATATCATAAATTAAGATTGTATAACTATACTTTACTTTCTCACTGCCTGTCACTTTCTTTGTTCCGGCGGCAAGGGATTGTTATATCCCGAAATAGAGTCAGTGGGGAACAAGGATCACCTCAGGGTTGACGTGATAATTTTTTTTATATAAATAAACAAATTAGGAACAACAAATTAAAGAAGAACACAGAATACTTTTACTTTTGAAATTTGGGTCCTCTCATACACAACTTCTCATAACAGGTACAAAAGTCTTGTTTACTGGCTGAAAGCCCGCTGTCGACTGTCTCCACTCGATTACTGCACGTGTTCTTGACCTAACTTCCAGATCCCTTGCTAGCGTGAGAACCTCCACACATGACATGCTAGCGTGGGATCTTTCACACGTGATTTGCTGGCCAGTTCAAATTTTAATTCCAACAGTTATAGGGGTTCTGGACTGGTATAATTGTATGTCATGTGGCTGGGATAACTTTACAAATAAATGTATGTTTTAATGTGAGCAACACTTAAAGGCCTTTAACTATAAGGCACGATGACTGTTCTTGCTGTAGTCACAGGTTTTGAATGATTGTATGTGCCAGCCGTCGATGCGTCATATTTTAACATTTATGCATTCAGTAGAAGTCCTAATAACATTCCAAGTTCTGACTGGTATTAACATATTTCAACAGTTTGTACAAGCGTGATGAGAGATGCTTGTTCCTGTATGTTCACCAAAATTCAGATGACTTTCAAATGTTCCTACCATCAGCCCAGTATCGTCAACGATTCCACAGTCTTATTCTAGAGATGACAGCTGATCAGGAAGGAATGGTCACGGATTTGGACTCTGATCCATCTACTGATCAAATGAAAGTAAGTTACATGAAGTGTTTATATCAAATTTCACTACTTTAGTATCATTTCTGAAGGCCGTTGCTCCTGCTGTGGACATTTTAATAGGCCGGTATTGCCATTGAAATCCTAATCTCTCTACTTGTCAATTGTAGTTTGAATATGAGTTGGATGACGTGGGGAAGAGGATTATCCTGGGGAAAGGCACATACGGTGTTGTATATGCTGCCAGAGATTTAAATACTCAAGTTAGGATTGCTGCCAAGGAGATTCCAGAGAAAAATCTTGGGTAAGTGACTTCATGACTATTTGATGCTATTCTATCACTGTTGTTCCGAGTGGACTATTTTTTATGTTTTCATCCTTAATGAATCATAAACAGGGTTATATAAAAATACATTGCCTATCACAGGACCATAAATGTATACATTGAATGCTTATTAGGCACATTTGGCAGGACTAATAAATTACTTGCATAAACAAAACTAAATGGATATAAGACTTTTTTTATTTTAAGATGATCTTGTTAGTAAAACTCTCCACACTAGTATATAATTACGAATTCTGCGAACGCATTCAAATTGGCAAGAAGTGAAAAAAATTTTCTTAAGAAATGAAGAGTTGATTCTAAAGCTTCACTGTTTATTACACATACTAAAATAAAATTAAATATATACAAGATTTGTGTATTTAGTTGTATGTTGTGTTATTGTAGAGCACAAGATAAACAACAAAAATTTATTATCAACATAGCGTAAACTAAGTAATGATTTTTTTAAAAAAATATTTTGTTTTTTGTAGTGATGTTCAGCCATTACATGAGGAAATTAAACTTCATTCACAGTTGAGGCATCGAAATATTGTTCAGTACCTGGGATCTGTCTCTGAGGGAGGATTTTTCAAAATATTCATGGAACAAGTTCCTGGAGGTTTGTAATCATACCTAACTTGTATTTTCGTTGTAGAGTTGTGAAGTGCAGTTTACGTTGCAAATGAGATGTATTAATTGTGTACTGCTCAGCCCCAACCTCAGAAGTGTTTAGCTGCTTCTTTGTATATATATTCAGTATTCTTTTGCAGGAAGTTTGTCAGCTCTTTTAAGGTCAAAATGGGGCCCGCTTAAAGAAAACGAGTCTACGATATCATACTATACAAAACAAATCCTGGAGGGCTTGAAGTATCTTCATGACCAAAAGATTGTTCACAGGGACATCAAAGGTAACTGTGGATCCATGGTAAAATATTTGTTATGTATATGAAAGATTCTTCTTCTTCCGTTTCTTGTCCGTTACATCGGTCTTCTGGTGCCTAATATTTTCTTCCATTCTCTATTTTCCCATCCTTCCGGAGGTAGTTTCCACTCTATCATGGTTCTTATAATTCTGTCTTTCCATCCTGGTCTTGGTCTCCCTCTCTTCGTTCTCTTTTTTGGTTGCCATTTCATAGTCTTCTTTGGTAACCTTTCCTCCTCCATCCTTTGCATGTGTCTGTACCAAATCAGTTGTCTTTTCTCTGTCTCCTCAATTATATCTCGATCCATCCTTATGATTTCTCTAATCCTTTCGTTTCTCACTCTCTCTGCATATGAAACATGAACTTTAAAAAAAATTATTACATGATAACAGTAAGATTCTAGTTCTTTTTAACACTTTTGAGGACTGGCCATTTTTAAAAAGGAGGGGGCGTTTTAAAATTATTATAAATCCAGAAGCAATTTATATATATGTAAATGAATTAAGACGACTAGAGTATGGGGAGTTTATGGGGTACATTCAATGTTACCAATTACTGGGTTCTCATCGTTAGTAAAAGTAACCTATCTGTTCTAGATGCTATGAGATTTATTGAAATGTAGTATTTTGCCAGTAATTAAAGTAATCTGAATAGTACTGTAATCACTAATAACTTCTGACTTGCCATCATTATCATCACAGTTATCTGACTACATATTAGATTTACTATGTGCGTTAATTTTCTTGAACACAGACACACCCAGATCTCTCACAGTCCATTATCGTAATATAATGAATCTTTGATCACAAGATGTACAAGGATTATAATAGAGTCTATGATTTGTACAAGACCTCATTTAAAATAGAGTATCCAGTGCTGCAGTTCTGGCAGAATCTTGAACAGGCATCTTATGTATATCAGAACACATTTTGGATCATTGTGTCTCACTCACTGTGTTAAGGTTATGCTTCATTTGGTGTTATTTAATACATTATAATATTTTGTAATATTACATATAAATATGCTGTGATAATAAATTAATATTTTTTGCTGTTACATTTGCTTAAAAGATATACTCATATTCTTTCACTCGTTAAATATTTTACAGTTGTACAGTTTTCAGTATTATTATGAACTTTTTTGACGTAAATACGTCTATACGGAAGGGTCATTCGGCAAAAACAGCGTTAGTTACGAGGATATGTAAGATCCAGCGCCGAGTCTCCTTTAAAAGTTCATTCCTCAGGAATGGTAAGAGTAAGGATAATGTAAAATGATCAGTAAATAAGGACCTTTAAGAATCTGTAATGTATTTTATTGTAATTATAATTGTTTATACATTTATTGAAATTTTAAGGAACCATTGTGTACAATTTTCAATGCATCTGGTACGTTAAGCGCCCGCCTCTCGAAAACCGAGGAGATGGATCTGGACATATTGTGTACGAAATACGTATTACCTCTTGAGCTTTCCATATCTGTTTTCAGATTTTACATATCACAAATGGTTTAGGTTCTACAAACATTTATTTATACAAATAAAGGCACATTGCGCTTCACGCTACTGCTGCGTTTGCGTATTTACATCAGATTCTCCGGAACTGTGGTTCCACTGTCAATTTTTCTAAAGGTATAAAATTTGGTTTATTAGAAATCTCTTGTTTTTGTCTTTATTGAGGAATTGTTCTTTTATTGATTTGTAGGTGACAATGTACTAGTAAACACTTACAGTGGAGTTGTGAAAATTTCTGACTTCGGAACATCTAAAAGGTTAGCTGGCCTCTGTCCGAGTACAGAAACTTTCACTGGAACATTGCAGTACATGGCTCCAGAAGTGATTGACAAAGGCCAGAGAGGTTATGGTGCTCCTGTGAGTAGTAATATTTGATTTTTAGTATTTTGTTTTGATTTTATGACTATTAATGAACATTTAATTGTTTTTTGTACTAGGCACTATGGTTGAGAGTAACAATTTTCTTGGAATATTTGATAACATTATTTTTACTGGTGTCTGTGCTGCTGTGATGTAGTTCAAGCAATTTAACCACAAATTTGAATGTGATGTTCTGGTTCGTGGAGCTGCGTATTCTTATAGTTTGTTATCAGCTGTAAACATTGACAGCTACCTTGAAGACAGTTAACTTCTTCACCTCTGAGAACGTAAAATCTCATATAAGGGTTAATGTGTGATATATGAAATGGCACTGATTAGACTTCTTTCTTTATTTCAGGCTGATATTTGGTCACTTGGTTGTACAGTTGTGGAGATGGCAACAGGAAAACCTCCATTTATTGAGCTTGGATCTCCACAAGCAGCAGTCTTCAAAGTATGTTGTGCACTGTTGTTCGATATGAAAGATCCCCCCACCCCTCAATCACTGCTGTGGGTGCAAATAATTTATGCCACTTATTCTGTAAGATTATATTATTTAGTTAAGATGTGAAAGTTTCTTCTGGAGTTATTTTGCTCTTGTCCTTGTAGGTGGGCTATTATAAAATCCATCCTGAAATTCCAACAGAGCTTTCGGAGAAGGCCAAAAGTTTCATTTTGTGTTGCTTTGAACCAGACGCAGACAAAAGAGCAACTGCAGCAGAGCTGCTGGAGGACACCTTTTTAACAGAGTAAGTTATTTTGTGTCTGCTAAATGTGTGTTATTGCATACAACACATTAAACAGAACAAGGAGTCTTCATTTTCTTTCTTTTGTTTTAGGAAGAAGAAGTCGTCGCGGCTTGCAGCCCCTCAGGAGTTTAATCGTAGTATTTCTGTGCCTGCAGACAGAGTGGGAGGGCGATATGATAGGACTAACAATCATGCTACTTGTCACGGACTGAACTCTCCAGACGATACGTAAGTAATAGCGTGTGAAGATGCGCATGTGTTTCAAGTAACCACATTTTGCTATGTGGCAGTGGAATGTGATTTTTTAATAATTATTTAGAACGTGATAGAAAACATTCACACGACAAAATATGGGATCTTCACATTTTTGTCTTAGAGAGCGCATACCAACATATTCTATAGGTGTAGTATCTTGATGCAAGTCTCAGTCAATAAAGTAACAGACTATTTGCCAGAAAGGCCAAGATTTGATTCCCAGCAAGGGCAGGAATTATTCTTTTTGCTGCGACTTTCAGATTGGATGGTGAGGACCTCCAAGCCTACTATCGAAGGGGTACCAAGGTTTCTTTCTCTGAAGGGGCATGTGACATTAACCATTCACTTACATCTAGTGCCAAGATCTAAATTGAAGATTTCTGTCTTCTGGGTTGTTGCGCTGTATAGTCTGGTCGATGTTTACCAACGTTTCAGAGGTCATACTGCCTCCGTCATCAGGGCGATGAATGTTTAACAACAGAAGACAGAAATCTTTATAATATATCTCTTTCATTTGAGTAACATTTTTAGTAGTATGTAATGTGTTTAGTGCTATCAACACTTCTGTTGACTTCAGCATATCATATTATTTTTTTACATTCAATGACTTTCATTGATGGAACAAAATGATTTCTTTTTTCTGCTCTCTTTGTGTTTAATATTTATGAGTTAAAAATCGGTGATAAACAAGTCATTTGAAACAGCATATTTAAAAGTAAAATTACAGCATAAGGATTCTTCTGTGTGTTCTTTAAACTGTTGCATTTTGGCAAGGGAAGAAGAGAGTAGACTGTTGAATAAAACTACAAAGCTTATCGTCAGTTTTCATTCTGTTAAATTTTTTGTGCGTATGTGGTCAGGATGTCCCTCACCCTAGCCATGTGGTCTGAGGCATCATGCTTCAGACTGGTGATATGGAATGCGCGCTGGTTCGGGTCTCAGGGGGAAAAGAAATTTTCTCATGAGCTTTCAACCAGTGTATGGGACCGGTGCCAACCCAGCATCGTGAGGAAATTGGGGAGCTACAATAAGTAGCGTAATCCAGTCAGGAAAGCTAGCAATGGCTGGGGGTTCGTCATGCTGACCACACGTCACCCTATATCTGGTTGGATGATCGTTCACCTCTGCTTAGGCATGTGAACGTGAGGCCAGCAGTCAAGCTAGTCGGCTTTGGCTCTCTGGAGCTGTTACGCCACGAATTTAATTTTAATGTGGTCAGGATACTGTCAAATGGACTTTTACATTTATATACTTAGTCATAACTGTATTAGTAATACCAATCTTTGTGTGGTAACCAAGTATCATGACAGGATTTGTATTTGAAGTAGTAAGTAGGCCATAAACATCCTTTACCAGCAGGAAATGCAAAGCGGAAGTTGATAATAATTGCCATAGTGAATGTTGATAACTCATACCAAGAAACAGATGTGAGAGAAAACCACTTTGAGTATTTTGATAATGTGTCATTTAAAATGGAACTGTTGTGTAATGGGGGTCTGGACACCCATTGCTGGGAGTTTAAATATCGGTGGTAAGTGTTTAATCGTGTTGGCTGATTTAGTGATGCTCTGCATTTCATAGTCGCACTAATTTTATGTTTAATCTTAATTTTCCAGGTTCCTGTTCAATGTTTTTAATTTGCTTTGGTGGCCATCTTTCATTTAAAAAAGGGTGCATTATTTATAGACATCTAAATGTGTTCTGTTTATTATAGACAAACTCTGCTTTCAGCGGATGTGCTTATGATGGGTGGAAAATTTATAGTAAAAATTAAATGATCAAAATTGAGTTGTTTGTTATTTCGACAGAAATGCTCGTCTTACCATCTCCCATTATCTGAGCTATTATATTTTTGGTCTTATTATATTGTATTTAATATGCATTATTTTTATTGACAAAATGCATGGACACATTTATATTTATTCACAGTAAATTAATATGCTTATGGTTGACATTAATTGAAGTGGAATGTGTATTGACAGACAACTGTATGCAAAGAAGCACACATTGAAGTTGAATTTTGGTTAGCTTCAAAATTGTATTTGATTGTTGAAAACTGTAGGATATTTAGTGAGTTTTTTTAACTATTAAACTAACCTGCTGGTATTTTGTAAATTACATATTCTGGTATTTTATATATTAATGCATGCAGTAAAGTTTGGTTTGTGTTTTGTAATGTACTGAACTTCGTATTATAAAATATTTTGACTAATTTGTTTGTATGATTTGAAACTATATTTTAAAATCTAAAATTTGAATCATGTGCATTTTGTTGAAAGACGTCTGAAGTTTAAAGTTGCATGTTTTTTCTCACGCTCTGTTAAGGGTCTTAATGAAAGTTAATGCTCTAAAATTTGTACTTTTCTTTTGTACCCTCATTCATAATTTATAATGAATGTGACATTCTGAACTAAATATCCATCATGAAGCTAACTAAAATAGAACCTTTCTGTTTATTTTGGAAAGGAATCTAAATAAATGCCTGTGATTAAGCACATCTGAGGTTACAACTGGAAATACTAAGTAGTCATTACAGGTTTGTTATCATAGATAAAATGTGCATGTTACTAAACAAATTTCTTGAACATCCATTTGTATAATCCTATACCTGCCTGCCTCAGAACCCAGAAGACCACTTCTTCTTCACCACTATGATGATCTCAAATCTCGCACAAAGATCAAAACCTGTGTACTTGATGGCTGAGGTTAATATTTTCTTCAAATCTGAAATTAATGTAGATTATACAAGACATAATTCCTTCCTAACTTCATTTCCATAGAATCTGCAGAACAATTCCATATTTATTGTTTCATATACTCTGTGCGCAGGGTTGCAGAGAGACGTGTCTACATATGAGCAAGAAGTTGAAAATTAAAGATTATTAATGGGCAGATAGTATCTAATTCCATGTTAAATGTGATCAATCTTATTTGTGTAAGATTTGAGGTTTTCACAGTGGTGAGTATGAAGATTTCTGTCTTCTGGGTTGTTGCGCTATGTAGTCTGGTAGATGTTTACCAACGTTTCGGAGGTCATGCTGCCTCCATCATAAGGGCGATGAGTATGAAGATTTCTGTCTTCTGGGTTGTTGCGCTGTGTAGTCTGGTCGATGTTAACCAACGTTTCAGAGGCCATACTGCCTCCGTCATCAGGGCGATGAATATTCATTCTGAAACGTTGGTTAACATCGACCAGACTACACAGCGCAACAACCCAGAAGACAGAAATCTTCAATCTTATTTGTGTTTGGCGTAACTATCTGAAACACTGATTATACGACTGTGAATAAGCGCTGTGGTACATGATGGAACATATTTTGAATCTGAAAGAAAACGCAATTTCTGCTTAATATTTCCAGGATGTTAACCAACATTTGCCGAAAAATTATAAATGACAAACTCAACTGTCTGTCTACTGTTGCTATTGTTTCACTAGCCCTGACAGGTCTTAATGTGATATATTATGGCCCCTCACTCTTTCATGTGCAGTAGTGCAGGCTTCAATACTAAGTCGAACCCTGTGAGTGCACGGGGCCCCTCTCTGCTCTCTCCCATCAGCATGCCTGCAGCTCTGTCCTTTTCCAGGTAATACATACTTTTGTTTGGTTTTAATATTGCTTGGTTTTTTTAATTTTTTGTTTTTATTTAGTCCTGCGTAGCATTGCTTGCATTTTATCTGCTCATCCTCAGCCACTCTACACATTTGCTTTATGTAAAATCAAGGATGGCTGCTAGATGTTAATGTACTTTTCTGCATGTTGTTTATGGTTTTGTGGTCTGCTGTGTCAATTTTCTAATAATGAATTTTCATAATTGCAAACGATCTTTACATGTTGATTCAATATACGGTTCTGTTTGAAGAATGAGGAAATGATGTCCACTTGATGCTGTGCGATAATATTATTTCACTTCAAATAGTTTAATAATTTAATATTCCGTTCTTGAGGTGAATTTGTTACGCTTTTTAAGTACAGTTTAATGTAACAAGCTTTAATTGGTGACCCCAGTTCATGACATGTTCCTTTATCTTTACAGTTTCGTTTTCATACGTGACACATTGAAATTTCAGTTTGTAGTTTGTTTTGTATAGGGTATAGCCTTAAACAGAGAAAATTAGTAGCTGAACTCTATATAAACAACTTTAAATTGAGTTCCTAAAATGAGAATTCTTCTGAAAGTTATCTCAGATTCCAGGTCACATTGAATTTATAGTCTTTACATATTAGTAGCTTCATTTTTGCTGTTCTGAATTATCACAGTGATGAATGATGATGATGAATGCATTTATTAGTGGTTTCTTTGGCAGAAAGTTTTCTGATAATGTTCATTTTCAAACTTTCAAGTTGCCTCTAATGATGTATTATTTTCTTAACCATGGTTTTATTTTGGGAACCGTTTAATATCAGGTCCCACTCATTTTCAACTTTTGAATCATGGGGATGCCTTACATGCATCACAAAGTTGAAGTAACTGCTTACTATGTGGAACCCTAAGCTACCATGTTCCCAATAGCCTCCCACTGGACCCTATCTTATGCCAGATTAATTCAAGAATCTGACCCCTTTGTCTTTAAGATTGATTTTAATATTGATTAATTGATTCTGCTCTTTTGTTATTAATTGAAATTAAATTTATACTAAGCTGACTGATTAACTTAATCTTAGAGAGACCAGTTTGTTTATTCGTAAAATATTTATGGTATATGGAGTCTTGTATAATAGTATTCTGGCTGTAGTATTATTATGTTTTGATTGGACGTTATGACATGTCTGTCATTTAAAAATTAAAATTAAGATATTAAAATGTATTTTTGGTACATATTAGTATTATAATTTTTTAAAATTTATAAACAAATAATGCATTTTGTGCAATCAAAATAACATAACATTGTTAAAAAAATGTTGGTGTCAGAATAATGTATTTTTAAATCAGAACTGCGAAGAGATTATCACATAGTGAAACATGATTTCTTTATTTTTCGGAAATTGGTCTCCTTAAGATAAAAAACAATGGCTATGCCAAACTAATACTAATATTTTTGTTTGCAAAGCAAAGGTATGTATTGCATAGTAAATTGTCCTTGTGGGTCTTGACATTGCTTAGTAAAAAATAAGTGAAATTTGATGAGAGATGACTCGTAAGTGAGCAATAGCCTTGAGTTGTTACGCCTGCTTTTTCAGACAGAGCAACAGCATTTTAAGTGAAAACACATTTAGATGCATGAACACAATGCTATTTGAGATTCAAGATTTTCGTGACAGTGAAAGTATGGATTGTGGTTTTTGGGGTGTGATGACAACTTTCTGGTGGATTATTTCACTTCCATCTTCAAGGCAGTTCTGAAAGTGAAGGTGATACATTCCTTCAAAATGTCTGTAATCACCTACAAGACTGTATCACAACCCACAGGACCAACCACAATCCATGTAATGCTGTTTGTTTTTGTTTCACATTCTGTCAAAGCTTCTTGACCTTTTGGGGAATACTACCACCAGTTTATCATATCCTCGGAATGTCTGAATGTCTTTATTGTTATTTGTGTTAATTTTATCTGTTTAGAAGTTTTATTTACCAGTAATGGCCATTGGAAAGTTTTTCTGTTTAAGTAAAGAAAATTTGTTTTCTGGAGAAAAAGGGTTGTAAAAGTGTGGACTGGATTTGAGTGGCTGAGGATAGGGCTTTTGTGAACGTGGTGAAGAATCTTTGGGTTCCTTGAAAGCAGGGAATTTCTTAATCATTTGAATGAGGAGGACCCTGTGCTATGGGACTAGTTATAGTCATATTGGAAGTTCATTTGTATGATCTAAATCATGAATTTTCGTGTTACTAAGTTCAAATATTCTTACCCTTAGCTTAACAACTACCTGTGAGACAGAGCCAGAAACGCCCAGTATTACAAGACGGAGTTCCTCTGGCGGTCTTCTGTCACCCGAGGTGGATCTGAGCCCAGGGGCCAAAGGACCAGGTGGAGCTCCTGTGCTGGGAGAGGCAGCGGAACATGACGGCTTCTATCTGCTGAAGAAGGACTCTCAGCGGCGAATGACCCTTTCAAGGGTCCTTAGTCAGGATGAACATAAAATTTGTGAGGTGTGGATGAAGAACATTTATCGAGACGTTGGCGAAACGGTCCTTACAATGGTATGTTTAAATTACTTCACTTTATAGTAGGATTAATAAAGTGTTTATGTCTCAGTGATAAATTAAAAATGTGATTTGTACAAAAATAAACATGAACATTTTATGTTTTGATTGAAATAAAATTGCATGAAGTAGGGTGAGAGGATGTTAACTGAAATTGACTGATTCAAGATAAATTGTCCAATGATGGGCTTTCATGAATAAGGTAAGACATCTTCATATGTGAGTATCTGTTAACTTGCCAAGAATGGCAATTTTTCTGTCTGTAGTTCGTTGTCAGGAAATGAAAATGAAAATAATTTTTTGCAGTCACATCTGGAGATTGTGATGAGAGGAATGAGGGACTATATTTCTGATCAGAATCGGGAAGTGATCGAAAGTGCTATCCACACACTGAAGGAGGAGCTCGACTTTGATGCAGCTGCTATTAGCCAGCTCCACTTCGCTATCTACCTCTTCCAAGAATCTGTAAGTATGCACTTGTGTGAGTGCTGTAGGATGCATGTAAAATTATTGGATGGTCAGGATTCTGATTAAACTAAGTTTACTCAACAAATTCACTTTGTTTATGCATTTTGATTGGTTGCTGTAAAAATTCTAAGGTCTAAATAAGAATTTACAAATTTTTAACTGTACATTTCTGGTCTCCATTGAACTTGAGATAATTTAGAATTTTAGGATTATTTAGTCTATGTAACAAACTGATTTTTGTCTCTACTCATATAAATTTCACTCTCGAAGATAAAATGCGTTTTGGTGAATTCATATAAAATGTGACATATTCACATCTTTTTCACTTTCTTAGGAAAATAATTTCGATCATCCAATAATTTAAACTAATTTATCTGTGGTTACAAAATTTTAATAAATTGGAATCCAGTGATGACATACCATCTCTTAATCATATGTCTGTTTTTCCAATGTTACATTTATTTTAAATTTTAAAAGAAGTTCTGCTTCATAGGTAAATTCCTCGTACATATTAATGTATCTGTAAATACAGCTGTTCCATACTCCTAATTATTTCACTTATGGGTGACAATATGTGACAGTGATTTTCATTTACAGGTAAATGTTGTATTACGACTTCACAGCATCAAACCTCATTGGATGTTTGCGTTGGACAATCTGGTCCGAAATGCTGTTCAGGCAGCTATCACTGTATTATCTCCTGGTAAGAAATTGTGTTCGCTACAGTGGATTCCACTTACCAAATTCTGTCATATTTATCAGTTTATACCAATCAAATAAGTATCCTGTTACATAATTCTCTCTGCAAGTAAGTTGGCATTATTAAATATCAGGAGACAAATTGTTGGACTTTGTTGTATGGGATTAGAACCCAGAACTTTCTTTGTGTACATTGACCTTTGCTGAGAGAGATAGCTTGTGTTTTTTTTCTTCTTAGTCTTTGCAGGCAAATTCTGCGATAGTACCATAAATTAAGCCATGAGTACTTTTTTCTGTGTCCTCCATAGTTGGTAAACCTCGATTTGCACAGATTCAGAATAATGCCGCTTTTGAAACCAGCAAGTCAAAAAATGAAAAAATATATTTTAGTATTATTTATAATGTTTTACAATGTTTCTCGCACTGATTCTTATACTAAATCGTAATTCTTACATCGCTGATTTTGAATAAAAATTATAAATACAGTCACCTCTGCACTCATTGCTAAGTAGTTGCAAGATAATCTCCTAAAAATCCGCCAATATTGCGCGACAGTCATGTGAGCATTGGTCTCACTTCACAATGATTCATTTGCGTTCAGCCTGATAAGGGAGTAAGGAAAAATTCGCTCAGTTCGCTTCTTGTTGACACATTGAATGTGCAGAAAACTGTGCGCTAAACGTGTTTGTGTTGTTCTTCGACCACTATTCTGCAGTAGCAACTGTTTTATATTTATAAATTGTAGAAGAGCCACCATGTCTGGTAAGACAAGTGAATGGGTTGCTAAAAAACTGAGTAGGTCTACTGCGTTAGAAGATAAGATTGACTTAATTAGTAGAATGGAAGGCGGTGTTACCCATCGTAATGTGTGAAGAAGTATGAAGTTGCCTCCTTCCACTGTGACTACCATAATGAAAAATTCATATAAAATAAAACAGTCAATGCAAGCGAGTCATAGCAGAAGTAAACTTTTAGAAAGAATGGAGAAATTACTGTCGCTGTGGGTGGATGACATGAATCAAAAAAACATTCCCTTGACTGAAATTGCTATCACGGATAAGGTGAAGTCAATTTTTGAGGAACTTAAGTCGTCAATGTTTGGGTGCCGGGAACGCATGTCATTGACTTCCCATTGATTTACATTATAAAAAGAGTTTCAATTTACGCCGGTTCGTCCAGGAATGCGTCCCGGGCATAAATCGAGGTTTACCTGCGTAGTCTGAGCTATTGGGAGTGTCATTAAATACATTGTATGTAAGTAAAATTGTGTCTGCAGAAGAGAGGGGTTGAAATTAAGGATTTTCTTATCTTCCAGAGCTTGGAGCACACTTGGGGGGACAGGATAATCCTGATGGACCCCCAGGGGAACCAACAGAGGAGGATTCCAAATCTGGAGTTTCAACTGTAAACTCAAATAAATCACAGAAGACTGTTGACAGCTTTCTTAGTTCAGCCAAGTTTCGGTTGGAATACAGGGAACAGATGGGCACTGTGAAAGCCGAAAACATGAGGTACATAACTCATTAATTTGTATTGTATGGATTAATGTAAAAAGTGGCATTTGGAAACAGTGCTTCATGTCATTTGATGCAGGTTACTTCAGGAACTTCTCGACAGCCAGCGTACCTACCAAGCTCTCCTGAAGCAAGGTCTTGAAGAACACAAACTTCAGATCCAAGTGTTAGTTCAGATGATGCAACAGCTAAATTTGGTAGCTGGTGGAATGAAGTCCCACACAGACTTAGGGTGAGTTCTAAAACACTTACTGTGGTGCACTTTATTGCTGGTAGTCTAGTAATGCTTTGTTTCTCGGACAATATTTTGTGTCTTAATTTGTTCCGGTCCATTATATAATACAATAAATATTTTGCAGCAGTTGGAAAACTACTGTTTTATAACTAGCAGTGTTTCCATTTTTTGAAGATTTCTGTCTTCTGGGTTGTTTCGCTGTGTAGTCTGGTCGATGTTAACCAACGTTTCAGAGGTCATACTGATGACGGAGGCAGTATGACCTAAACCTCAAATCTTACTTTCCATTTTTTATTTCCTTTTATAAAAGTAATGGTTGGTATGTGTTAAGCATTATCGCAAGAAACTTGAAGGGTCTTACTGTACGAGTTGAGAAATTCAGTTTCTGGCTGTACAGTTACAGTTCCCAGCAGTCTGCGTGCTCCACAAATGAAGGCGCATATCCTGGAGGCCTCCTTCCACACATCAGCATTACCGACAGCTCAGCCGATCCTAAGCTTATCGAGTGGCTCCGAAGTCTGCATCTTGATCAGGGCTCTATTGATAAGGTAAGGGAGTGCATCTGATAATGCCGTCTTACAACAGAGTGCTTTGCATTTGTCTGTTATGTCACAGAACAGTTCATCATAAGTCTTTTTTTCCCGCTGCCATTGCTCTTCTGTGTATCTTCTATCACATTAAATAATGCATTATCAATCTTGCTTTTATTTCCTTCTGGGCTCCTGATGTTTGGAGATGACATCGAGATCTATTAATGCTTGCAATAGGATGTCATTACTTTTGGGGGGTCCTTCATGTAATTATATAGGAAAAATTATAAAATTATTCTATCATTTTTCATACCAATTCATAAATGTGCATACATTTATTTGTTTTAATATATACTATTGACTATAGAATTTTATGTTTGTTAATTGTCCTAACTCACTTTTACATGTTTTTTCTCAGTTCCTGTTTGAAGAATACTGCCTTGATGATGTTTTGTTGTACCTTACTCGTGAGGATCTCCGAAGATTGTATCTCAGGTAAGGGGGCTTCGTCATTGGAGCTGAAGGTCGCCCAAGTAATAGTTAATAAGTCAGTCCATATCACGAAGGAAACTGAACTCTTCACCATTACAAAGATAACTGGTTAATGCGGTTTATGAAAATAATTCCTTTTTTATGCTGAGAATCTCACAAAATCCACAAACAAAACATTTTGTGTTACTGATAGTTAAAGCAGCTGGTACATATATTTACCATTCTGCTTTAAAAGGTTAATACCACTTAATACGATAATAAGGTAAAGTAATAAAAAATATTTGTTAGTATAATTACAACCAATCACCAGAAGACGTGAACAGTACCCCACATAATTGTGGAACCATTGCCACAAACCTTTATATAATCTTGCAGGAAAGCTAGAGATGGCTGGAAGTTCATCGTGCTGACCACACGTCACCCTATATCTGGTTGGATGATCGTTCACCTCTGCTTAGGCATGTGAACGTGAGGCCAGCGGCCTTGGCTCTCTGGAGCTGTTACACAACGGATTTAATTTTTAATTTAATGTTATAACCTTACTTTTGTCACGTACCTCATACATGCTTGACATTGGCAGCACGGTGCTTTAAAGCGACATGTGAATGAAGCCATCCTGTCCTTATCCGACTCATACTTCGTACTTCAGTGACCGAAACACGGCATTACAAATAAAAACAATTTTTTGTTATATTTGGAATACATTTTTGTGTTATGTCTCTTCTCTTTAGGGGTGGAGTTGAACTCCGGGTGTGGAAAGCCGTACTGAAGTGGCGACGAGAGCACCGCCCACCTTCAAACTCTGATCATGCAGGAAAGAATCACAGGTTGTCCCGAAATTCTACCAATACAAATACAGATAAATTAACAGTTTTCAGAAGAAACAGCAGTGAAAGTCCCGATGTAACTGATTAATTTTTTTCATAATATTCAATTCAAGGAACTTGCTGTTGATGTGGAAAATAGTGAAGTTTGCTGCCGTAAAACATGAAAAGCCGGATTGTATTTAAAATTTTATGTCCAAAAAATGAGTTAATTTCATGTAGTTACATGCCGTAGTTGTGATTTATTTGGAACTGACAAAACTTTTGCAGGGGAAGTAATATGGAGTAACATTACCACAAAGAAATGTGTAGTTTGCTTATTTGGTAGGCAAGACTAGTCACAAAGCGTTATATTTTCATGCAGGAAGATAATTAATTTTTAATAAGTGCATTTTTTGTATGTATGGCAATTAAGTCGGTGCTGTATCAGCATTACATGTTAACTTTACTGAACTAGAAATTGTGGTTGGTTAAGATGATTAGGCGCACCCCACCCCCACCCATTCTCATGTACACACGCACGTGAACAGGCGAAAGAAAATAAGTCATTCCGCAGGTTGATTAGTTCTTCTTATGATTTGCATTAAATTGCATTCTGTGGTGCTTGAATGTTTTAGTGATGCTCGGTGTTACAGCTGTTTTGTTTTTTATTTTCACTTCGTATGTTTGCAACATATGTATTTAAAATAATTAGATATAACCTGGAAAGGTGACATATATAAACATGGTTTTAGGCTAAACATAGCAGACGCCTTTGAAAACGGGATTTTTTGCGTCAGTCATTATGGACTTTGACGGCAAAGTGAAAGTTGAACTATTTCTGCTAAATTTTTTTCTTCTGTGTATTACACGTGGTATTTGCTCAGTTTCTAGATGCGTACTCTCTTTACGCAATATATATTGGAGTTCCTACTTTTATATTTTTAAAATTCATTATAAAATTAGTCCTATTTTTAAGGGAATATTTCTCTTTTCTTTGAAGTTGATCACTGTGTAGTATTTTGGTACGGAAAGATGTTTCAGAAATACGGCGAATTTCTTCCTTTGTGACAGACTCGCTAATGCCTTTGGATCTGTTGTTTGCGTGTTGCATGCGGGAAAAGTGTTTTCAGGTATAGGATTTACTGCGACGGCTTTTATATTTCGGAATGATTTGTGTAATTCTCTCTTCTGTGATTTCTTTCAGCTCTTCAATAGATGATGGGTTTTGTTGTGGAACATATTTCTTTCTCATTGCTCTTCTGATATTGTATCTGTTACATTTTTCTACTTCCTCCTCATCAGTGGATAAATCTTCATAAAAAAAAGAGAGCAAACCATATCTCATGCATTTCTTTCGTGTGCTATAGATCTGTGAAAAATGAAAGCAGTAAAACTTGAAGAGTTATATATAAGAAAGAGATTATTGTAACCTCGACAAGTTCTCTGTCCATTCATTCAGTAGTGGGTTGGCAAAGAAGTGATCGTACGATAGGCACGTGTATTGTACGGCTATGCTTGGAAGGTACGTGTCGTAAAGTGTTTTGTGATTGTATGAAACTAGGGTTGTGCAGGATTGTTTGAAGAGATGAAGCAGGCAGTACTCATGATTACTTCCAGTTCAAATTGTTTTGCAGATTAAGTTTTTATTTTGCTTCATTTATTATTACTTCCAGAACTACATTCAGATTGTTAAAAGGTTTTATATATTGCTTGGGATTATTCTTTCACTTCTCACGTGAAAAATGCAGAAGCTATTAATTTGGCCATACGGAATGAACGTGAGAGGTAAGTTTGAAAGTGTTTTATGAAAAGTTGGCGTAGGTAACTAAAATCTGTGTTTCTTATTGCCGTCATTGGCTTCTGATCCATCCATAAATGACTTAGTAGTAGATGTACTAAGTTTCAGTCCAAATTGTCGTACAATTTGAAGTTGCACCTGCACGCCTCTAGATCCAACCCAATTTCTTTGTGACTCGTACCTTAGTTGTTACACTGTGCCTTAATAACTACCGTTATTTTAATTGTTATTCTTACATGTTTATTGAGCATTCTGTTGCAATGTTATGGTAAAGAATGTGAAAGTATAGGATGTGTCAAAAATCATATTTCTTCTGTGATAGCACTAGATTTCTTAATTAAAATTATTTGTTATTTTTGAGACATTTAAAATGTCGTAAGATTTGAGGTTTTCACAGCGGTGAGTATGAAGATTTCTGTCTTCTGGGTTGTTGCGCTGTGGTCGATGTTAACCAACGTTTCAGAGGTCATACTGCAACTGTCATCAGGGCGATGAATATTCATTCTGAAACCCAGAAGACAGAAATCTTCATTTAAAATGTTTAATAATCTCATTTATTTGTGACAAAATTAAGGAATATTTCATCGTTAGATTTTTTTGTATAGTTTCAAAGTTTACTGGAATGAAAATTGCTATTTATGCACATAGCGTAAACAGATTTATATATAAAAACTCACTTAGGAAGTGATTTGTTGTATATAAAAATGTGTGATTCACAATAATAATCAAAGCAGTGATATAAATGTTAATTGGCATGGTAGAGCAGTATGATCCATCAGCAGAGGTTACGAGATGGATGCCATTAGTGCTGTAGGTAACTTGTTTGATAAGGAAACTCCATATAATGGATTGCCGATATATTCATAAAAATTTGTGGGATTTCAGGGGTGTGTTCAGTTTACATACGCGCTACTGGAACAGTTTTCTTCTACTCTACTGGCAAAGATTAACGTATTTTCCGATAATAACGGTGATATTATCACCTCTGACACTAAATAGTTAACTTAACTGACAAAATTCACCTTTTTTAATGCTTTGTTTGCAATAATATAATTGAACATCACAGCCAAGTTGTTGGCACTGCTGCTATATATTTGGGAGGTTCTAGGTTCAAATCTTAGCTCACAGGCGCAATCCTTTGCAGGTTCTGTGGTTTTCCTCAGTCCCTCCAGGCAAATGCTAGGATAGAACCTTAAATTATCCCAGGACAACTTAAATTCTATATCTTTTCCGTCTTATTATTTATTCGTCATCGTCTCATTGACGTCTGAGTTACTGAGAGCGTCATTAAATAAACCACAGATGATGATGAATTACTTGAAATTCTAATATTGACGAACTTAAGTGAATTATACAAAATGTGTATGTTATATATTTATATGTAAAAGTAAGGGTGTAATGTGTGTAGTGTCGTTACATGTTGTGTTATTTGTTAGTGTGTATTGTGTGTCCAAGCCCTTTTTTTTAGTAATGGAAAATATTTATACGTTTGTATTTGTTGGACGTCTGAGATTTGATGTCTTGTGGTGGTAAACGTGTCTGTCGTGTTCTTCTGGGTTGTTGGTCGTGCAGTCTCGTATGTGTTTGGCTACATTTTGGAGAAATGCATGGCCTCCATATTCAGGGTTGAATGCCAGAGGTAATGCGTTCTTTGCTAGTATTGGTAACCATCACAGCCTAGATGATTATAATTGTCAGTTGTTCCTGTCTCCAGCCATTTGATTGGTAGGATGCCTTATTGACGTAATTAATTTAATGGTATATTTCCTCGTGGTAGTAAAAGAAAGTGTGAGAGATGCTTACATTGTGCCTTAATTTATATTTAATGGTGGCTAATCGTGTTCTGTTGCAAGGCGTGTGGGTGACTCACGTGCACTTTGAAGGTGTTAACATACGTTACTCAAAATTCATGATTTCCTGAAAACCGTGAGGAATATCCTGCGTGTTTATGACCGTGTGTGGTATTTTTATGAAAGTGAAAAGAATGTTAATAATAAAATAACATTATTCTGGTGCCTGTTTGAACTTGGATAAATTTTTAGGACGTAGAATTTGTCCGTCTGTCCGAGGCTTTGATGGAGGTTTCGAAACGTCTTCGTTTTTATGGTGCAAGGTTGTTAGCCTTGCGACCAACCCCCAACCTGGATGACCAGGGTACCTGTCTTAGTCTGACCTCTCCCCCTCGACCAATCTGGGTAGGGAGGCCCTACCAGTAGCTCTTGGGGTCACTGAGGTACTCAAGCCCCACCACCACGACAAGGATTCCAATTAAGCAATATTTGTAAAATATTAACAAAGTCATGTATTGGAATTATTTTTCAGGTTTTAAAGTATTTTGTATAACGAACATTTTCAGTGAAATGGTGGCTGACAGATGGTTCATGTGAACCATCCCCACTATACCCTAATTATATTGGTATCAAATATAAGTTAGCACCTAGAGGAGTCATTTCTATAATTTGGGCCAAAAGAAAGATATTTTTCCTCCCTTACAAACTTGGGTGGTTGCCCAGCACTGGAACTGGGAAGGTTAATTCCTGTTCTAAAATTGTTCATTGAGATGCTAGGCGTGTTTTATTTGGTGTTGGTAGCCATGTATTTCTGCTTATGACACGTACTAAACTTGTGTACTACCAAAATCAAAGCAATTTTAAGGTGTAAAATTAAAAATTAAATTGATTGATATGCCTAACCTTTTTAAAACAGATTATTCAATTGTAACAATCGTTATCATACTGAAATTATTTTTATCGTCGAACATTTAATCTCAAGGGGGTGTGGCAGAAGGAGAAATAAATATGAATGGAAATTGACCAACTACCGCCATTTCAGAGTGTACTAGATGCACAGTGATTTTGAGGCGTATTTTGAAGGTAAAAAAATTAAGTACTTGTCATTGCAAACCCTTTCTTTCTTTCTTTTGTCTTGTTTCTATGCTTCTTTCTTTCTCCCATGTTGTGTGGGTGTTGAGGCAGTCCTCTAATTTGTTTTTTTGAATTGGGCTGGCCATGTAGAGTTGTGCATATTTTATTTATGTTTTTTGTTTGGTAGGAAATTAACTTTCTTCTTACTCACTAACCATTTTGTAGAATTAAGATGGGTAGGCTATTTATGTGCTTGTTAAGAAACAGGATAACCTGCTGTAATGGTCTTTGCTTCTAGTGGGGTAGCTGCCAATTTGCTCGCATTCGTAAATTGCGAAGCTAAATTCTTCCTATTTAAAAACACAAGACATATTTTGTGCATAATGTGTTCTGTCTTTGAAAATTTGTTTCAAATATTAGTTGAATTAAAATCAATCTTTGTTGCTGTTAAAGCACCTACCCCATTTTTATTAACAAAATATGAAAATCAACTTACATTACGCAAGCGCCTTATGTAATTATACTATCGAAGAATGTTTTACCTAAAATTTGTTGTCTGTAGCATAATTTTCTAGATCATTTTCATTTGTTTTGCCATTTAATGCAGTGATCGGTTCAGTATTGTTACAACATATTTATTGCAATATGCAAACGATAGAAAAATGTTGTCTCCCACCCACAACTTGACAGTGCATAAAAGTATTTCTCATTGCGAGGTTTTCCCTTTATTGGGATTTTGCGTGTACAATTCTTTAATTTCGACATGGATGAAGTTCTTGAAACTGTTGAAAACTCAAATTCCCAAACTTAATCTGTATATTTTACTTGTTGAGGTTAGGTTTTCCGGATAATGTATAAAATAATAGCCTGAGTTATATCATATTGTGGTATAAAGCAGAAGGGGCACTTATTTCAGAATATGAAGCAAATGAAAGATATCATAAAGAATTTATTATTCTTCTCTGTTAAAAAGTTTGTTATGACGTGGAAGGCATGTCTACCAACATGTATCCATTTACTTAACAGTTTATTTACGTCTACACAGTCCTGCTCCATGGAATTACAGTAATTATACATATAATGCATTCTACCTTGCAGGTAAGTAGAGTAGAACTGCATATATAAACTTTATATTTTGTTATTTTATTTTTTATGTCCAGGATAACGAAAAGACTTCCTTAGAACTTTTGTGCCTTTACTCGTACGATAAAGCAGCTGATTTTTAACATCACATTTATATGGTATGTTTACAGTCTCAAAAAATTGTCATGTTAAATATATATAAGCAAATATTTTGTACAAATGTTCGAACAATCATTACAACGAGCCTAGGATTCTGAAAATGAGGAATTGTATTGTGAATTGAAATGAATTTGTTGTGTACGTAGTTTTTGTGTGGTGATTCATCGTCTGGGAATGTACCTTACTGACAAGTTTATTACAGACGCTGGCCTTGTTACGGGTGTCATAACTTGGTAAATACTAGCCGCTGTATAGTTTGTCAAACTGGAAGGAAATGCACCGTAGCGAGGTATCGGATTAATATCATATGTGCATTTTTTTTTCTTTGCAAACGCGTGTACTTGCCGTGATTTTGCAGAACTTGTAAGACGAACTGCCTTACAATTTTCAGGCGGTGTTCCGTATGAGACTAGGTTTTCACGTTGGTCAGAATTTGGACTTTGTTCTTCTGGTTTATGACCACAATTTAAAGGTATTCTGTGGCGGTATTTGAACTTTTCCTGTAATTTCTATAATTTAATAATTTATTTCTGAGGCCAGTGGATGGTGCAGGAAGTTCTTTGAAACGTCGACTGTACACTCAGCTTGTCAAAGAATAGCCCACTTTCTTTATGGAACCAGAAGGTTCATCACTGTGTTCACAAAAGCCCACCACCAGACACTGTCCTGAACTAGCTGCATCCAGTATGCGCCATCGATTCCTATGTCCCTAAGGTCCGTGATACAGTAATTTTAATTCTATAAACTTTTGCTTTTAGTTTTTCCAAGAGATAAAATCTGTGTATATTCATATACAAGGAATGTGACAGCCGTTGATCATTCTTTCATCCAGCTCTTGTCAGTAGAGTTTCTGCCCCGAGCGTGTGTTAGCGTATCCTGACGGAAATGTGGGCAGTTAATTGTTCAAAGGACTCGACGACGACAAAAACGCGGACTGCTTCAAGAGCGCGTGTTGTCGGTGCGCATCAGGTATCTACACACAAGTGTACTTCCTTTCTGTGACCGCCTGTGATGGGGCTGGTATTTCCCAAGTCGCGGTACAGCGTCTGTGATGAATTGCAACTTGTAGTGGAGGATGTTCGCTGTGTGAGGGTAAACTGTGGCAAGTGGAAACTGTGGAGTGCTTGGGAACAAATTTCTGAACAATGCCTGCGTAGACCTTGTAGATTTTTAAATTATTACATTTATCTTTATGAGTAGTTTTGATATTTTTCTTGTCTAAGCTGTAAATGAAGCGATGTCTTTGTTTTTACGTTGTTTCCTTTTGCCACAGTTTACAGAAATTAATTTGCTAAAAACTAACGCTTTCAGAACATAATGTTCCTCGCAAAGTTATTTAATTTTATGGCGATCATTAGTAGGACTTAGATAATTATGCAACTAACATTTTGTATGCAATTGCGATATTATTTTAATTGCATTTCTTATTTTCTTCAAGACCTAAAGTAACATTGTTTTGTTTCACATGTAGTTGAAGTTTTTTTTATATCTAAATATACTTTACGTAACTTTTTATTTTATGACGAGGGAAAAGGGTGAATTTATATGCAACGCTTTCCAAAGGAAACTTACTTCTTTTGTAAAAAGCTAGAAAAAAATTACTTTCAGCCAAAGTAATAAGGGTTTGTAGGTGCCATTTTTAACTGAGGTATTTTTTACTGAAACTTGTAAAAAGCCATTAAATATTTTGCACAACTTTGTAACATGGCATTACCATTGTCGTGTCATGTGCTTGCTACTGGTAAATATGTTCTAGTAGGAGGTATAGTTGTTGAGCAAGATGACAATTCCCCTGTCAGAATCCTCCTTCCAGGGTCTCCAGGTCTTTTTGTAACTCATCAGCTTCTGTATACTCACTTGTTTTCGCCCATTCTGTCAGTGGGGTCTCACTTTTTCAGCCAAGTAATTAGCACTCCAGCTTTCTGTTTAGAATGTCCTGAGTTCAGATCTCATCCCAGAGACCTGGCTGAGGTTTCTGTAAAAGACCTTATGCAGTGTTTCCCTAAATTTTCTCCTAGAACCCAGAACCGAACCGTTACCACCGCTATCAGCAGTGAACAGATTAAAACTATAGTTTGGAAACATTTTATAAGACTCGTAAATTTCGAGCAGTGAGATAGTTGAAAAAGAAATATTTGGAACACGTTATCATTTCTTGTGGTATTTGAAAACCTGACAGTGGCATTTGCCACTACACGTGACAATTGATTTATAAAAAGTTACTTAGAAAAATTATCTCTGTCATCTGTTCTTTTAGTGCATATTTAAAATTTGTTGTTGCATAATTACCTGGGCTCTAGTTATTAAGAATATTACGTAGTGTAACCATGACCTGTTAAAGCATTGTTTGTAAAAATAAAAATTGTTAAGCTGTTATGATAATAGAATTCTGTATAAAACTGATAGATGTGTATATATATATATATATATATTTGTAAATATAATCTCAAGTTTTCCTTGTACTGTGAATATTTATTTTTATTTTGTTTTTTTTTAAACAATTTGTATTTTATTTTTGCCACAAAGTCACACCTGAGTGGTTAGCGCTCCTGCTTTATATGTTGCAGGTTCAAGTTAGTATCTTGCCCCAGAAACCGGCTATTTAAAAAAAAAAGCGACGAAGTTTAAATTTTATAAATTTGTGTTTGTACGCTTTTCGTGAGATTCTGTTGTACCGTAATACAAAACCTCACTTCCTCGTGTTTTAACTCGTAGAAAATCTAACATCTAATAGTAAACTAGTTCAGAAATTCCCTGCCTTTTATAGACCACGAAACTTCATTGCCTTGTTTTCTTAATGCCCATATTAACGTTCTCCAACACAAGCCCAGACTCTCAGCTGATATCCTGTCTTCGGGGGTTTCCCGACAAAATATTGGTATGCATTTATTTATATCATGCGTGTTACCCTCTACACTTTCGATTATATAATTAAACTGCAATGCAATGTTAATTCTTCGTATATTGCTTCACATTATAGCAGACATTTTGACTACGTATGATGAGACCGTGTAACTAAGGAGATTGTAATTTCAGTTATCGGCAAGGTGGTTTGCTGAGGAAGTAACGCGTGTGTACTTGTTAATGCAGTAACATTATCTCGTGCAGTGTGAGGGAAATTAAAACGCTCTTTAAATCTAGTATACATACTGACACAAGTTGCAGACCGTGAAATTAGGACTCGAAATTTGTTTGAAACAATTGTCGTACAAACAGCCTTTCCAACAATCCATGTTTTTTTTGAAACGGTTGGTGTATTTCTCCATTATGTTTCAGGGAAGGCAATTGTAGCGAGAACTCTGGCCCAACAAACAGCCTCAAAGCTGGAAATTCCACCCTCAACGTTGCATACAACAACGGCCTACAGCAAACTACGAAGTGAATAACTTCTACGGATCCCCAAAATACATTCTTTCCTTCGTCGCCTTCACACAGACCATGGGAACCGGGTGATGGCAGTGTTTCGTGTGATGGAGAGGAAAATGCCGCTGACTAATTCAAGAAACGATGCCATGGCTTTGTGAACACTGCGTTCACAGTGGAGACTTCAGACGTCAGATTACATGTATCTAAGTGCAGTTCTAAAGTTTCAAATTTGACTCGTTTAGATATATTAATGTATATACTGAATACACTGCGTTGTAGGGATTCAGCAGCTTTTAATTTCATTAAAAATATATTTTTCACGCTTTCATTTTATGCTATATATTTATTTTCGTTTGCTATTACAAAGCTTTATCCAAACCACGAAAAAGTAGACCCACAAAAAAAAAATTAACACCGCTGTGGGTTGGATTGAAATTTTTTGCGATTAAAATTATTAATTGTCAGGAATTTTTCCATCGTCTGTTTTTTTAAAACTACGACGTTTCGGAGGCTGGTTCTGACTCCGTCTTCAGGTGAGAGGTGCCTAGTCTATTGGGGTCCTGACACTGAATAATTTTAATTGTAAACTACCGTCGTCAAAACCCTTTAGAATTGGATTTTTTGCGACTAAAATTATTCAGTCAGGACTTTTTACATCGTCTATTCTTTAAAACCAACGACGTTTCGGAGGCTGGTTCTGACACCGTCTTCAGGTGAGAGGTACCTACTCTATTGGGCCGATGGAGATCATACTAAGATAAAATATGAAGATTTGGGTGAATTATACGTTCTGTATAAAGTATAATAAGTCAGTGATTGATGTCCTGTCTCACTGCAACCCACTTCACGTGATACAAATATGTGGCCTCTCCTCCATCTGTTACGGCAATTCCAGAGCGCTCTCTTCCGCACTGATTAAGGACGACTGTTAACATACCTAATGCCTGTCATGTCGAGGAGTTTGCGTTGTGTTAATCAGAAGGGGTGGGTAGACAGGCATGTGTAGGAACCCTGAGTCCCGCTTACAGGAACTGCGACAGGCTTACGATTGTAATACATTCTGTTCTGACATTACAGTACGCCAAGTGGAGCGTTTGAATACAGATACACAAGTTTAATCAGGCGTGGTAATATGTAAGACCGGGTTGCTAGTAAATTCCATATCCATTGCTTTGGACGTTTCGAAAATGGAAGGAATGAACGTTTCTATTCTCGGTGGTCCAGTGTTCGACTTCGAGTTGACCAATTCTTGCCAGGAAAATGTTTATAAAAGTCGTGATTTTTTTTAAAGTACGTTAAATTAACGGGTGCAGCTGTGTATGCAGACTTAACCTCATTAACGTATTAAAAAATTAAGGTTCAAGGTCATTAACAGATGCCGGTCACAACAAAATATTTTTCTGTTGGAATAATTCGCGCCGCGGGTTGTGTGATAAGAAGGGGAGACCACAGGATCATGGTGCTTAAATATATTTTTGAATTTCCAAACAATACGGTGTAACACAGGCTGCATTCCATATTGGAAGTGAGACGGGAGATCCCTGAGAAGACCGGGAGATCCCCCGAGGTTTATCCCTAAAATTGTTGACAAAACAATATTGGCTCGGAATATGAGAAATATTGAAGATCAAAATAAGTCAATCAAGAAGGCGGATTTAGATAATAAAGAAAACCAATAAAATGTTATAAACGTAAATAACTTGGATAAAAATTTTGGAACGCGTTTCAAGACTTGTGAAAATTAGTTTCGCTGTGCATTAATGTTACATGAAACTAACTCCACAACCCCTGTTCTCTGACTATTGACTCTTCCGTCGAGTAGATTTCATTATCTTTACCTGCAAACCCAGGCCAGACCTCTTTTAAAAAAAAGTATCTGTAGGTACTTGAGCTTTCCTGCAGCAGTTGCTTTGAGAAATTCCAACTCCCTTTTCTGTCGCTTTTAGGCGAACGTCACTGCACTTTGAAAGAACTGCATTTTCTCTTAGAAGTGCATAGTGCACTTGAGACTCTGAAAATTAAACCATAATGCTGCACCCAATCTGCTGAAGTACACGAGATATTTCCAAGCGTACTTCGTCCCCTACAACCCCCCCCCCCCGTCTCAATTTTTGTTAAATACAATGTCTGTTTTTACATTCCTGTTCAAGTGGTGAGTCCATAATAAAAATCATCTTCTAGCTTTGGCACATTCCGTTGCCACATGCAATGCTGTGGCGACCGGTCATGACCGCGTGGACCAAACCACTGTGCATTTGTAATAATGGAACTGACACAACCAAAGTTAGGTCAAATCAGTTTAATTTTGCTTTTGATTTCATTTGTTTAATGCGTTGACAGTCGTACGAAAACAACAGAAGTCTGTAGAAAATGCTAAAACGACAATCTTCTTACTTTACACTCTAACAAATGTTACGGGGGTGATCAAATCGGGAAACAGAAGATGGGCGGGTCATGTAGAATACATATGAGATACAGAAATGCGTACAAAATTGTATTTGTTAAGCCGAAAGGGAAGGAACAACTTGGTAGAGCTAGGAATGGATGGGACAATATTAAAATCCATCTCAGGAAAATATGATGTGAGGGAATAGATTGGATTCTTCTGGCTCAGGATAGGAGCTAGTGCTGAGCTGTTATAAACATCGTAATGGATATTCCGATTCCTTGAAAGATAGAGAATTTCCTTACGAAATGTCAAGACCTCGATGCAGGGCTGATGTTGGTAGCATTCGCCATCTATCAGCACTTCTCAGAATCACGAATACATCCATGTCTCGAGAGCGGTCCAAGGCCTTATACATCTCAGACCCCACGCTCGTTGTGACCTGATAATACACAGGACGATTTAAAATTCCATAAAATAAAATGGAATCTGGAAATGAACACCACTAATAACTGATAAACAACTACAAAAAAGTTGCATATAAGAAATTATGATTAAGTTTTAAGTTTATATAATTGTAATTTTTACACACCTGAAGATGGTTCATCTAAGAACCGAAACATGTAGTGAGAAAGTGATGTTCCAAATGTAAATCGAATGTTTCGATAAGGAGCATCACATGGTATTTTAACTATCTTAATTTTAAATTTTAAATTGTGATTAGACGGACAAGATTAATTAATTAAATAATTAATTAAAATTCAATGTATACGTAAAAAAGAAATTATAGTGTTTATCGTGGTGAACCTAAGATTACAAATTACAGCCTGTCAAGGCCATACAATCACGTGATATGAACCTGTGCTTGTAGGTGAGTGTACAGGAGCCCTTTTAGTCACTTGGAGGTGCACGGGGAATTTTGAATCGTGCTGTATTTTACGTAATATTTAAATTTACGAACTACTTCTGTTGTGTTATCATGTTCACAACACTTATCCAAAATGGTTTATCTCCTGTGTGATTTGTGGTTGGTTAATTGTGTTTTCACCTCTGGTCAGTGAAGATGGTCGTGCCAAACCCCCAGTATAATAAACTTCACAGTATATGTTGCGTTGCCCTGTTCTCTGGGTTGGTTTCAGATTGGATAATTAGGAATCGTATGACAAGCAAATGCTATTGGTTGGGTCCATAAATGAAAGGCATAAAGACCAGGGCACATGGCGGAGATCGTATTTGTTGTCCCCCATATTGATTTCCGAGTACAGTACTGCGCTGTGGTACACTGATTTAAACTTTTGTTTTGAATGTTTATACACAGAGTGTGTATTCACTTATTGTGCTCAATGCGCGAGTGATAATGTAATATAATGTCGCTCTGATGAACACTGGTCATACCCCAAGTCTCTTCACATACGGATATCGGATTTCATTATCTTCACAATTCGGTGGACATTAAATGATTTTTAAACAGTAAATTTAGGTATGCATACAGTTTTGTTTTATTTTACGTTTTCATATCGATATTTGCTCATCAGTCTCCCCCCCCCTGTATTTTTGTTTGCAGATTTGATAATTTGTAGGATGTACTTTAAAACGAACACAAAATGATTGCTTCTATTTAAAGCTAATGTAAGCTTCGTAGTTCTACGCGTTTACTTCAATGTTGACACAAGTTATTAATTTCATGTATACACGCGCCATAAATCTGTCGATCAAATGGAAAGGTACTGATTGCAGATTTTTCGCTTCAGAAATCACAAACATCCACATATTTTACGCATCGTAACGTTTTGGAGCTATATTCGTCTTCTGTCATTTAGACTGTAAATAAGTTTCTGTTTGAACTACATTACCTACAGTTAAGTAGGCTTTGAGGTTCTCACTGCGGTCTGTAAGAAGCTTTCTGTCTTCTGGGTTGTAGCGCCGTGCAGTCTGGTAGAAGTTTACCAACGTTTCAGAGGTCGTTGCTGCCTCCATCATCAGGGCGATGATTGCCAGACATGACTAAAGTAAAACGAAAAGTGTGTGAAAATATGAAAAATCTGCTTTCTGCGTAAATAAAACATATATACATACATAAAAAGAAGGCAGAGTGAATTATAGAGGGTCTTTTTTTCCGTTCGTTCGTTCGTTCGTTCTGTCTGATGACAGGTCCATATGAACAGGATCCTTCCATCCTTTTCTCGGACTGGGACCTGTTCATATACGTTCTTGGCAGATGATCCAGAAGTGATTTGCCATTGCCTTCTTCTGTGTGTGAATGGAGTAATTGTTGGGATGCCACGGAGAAACCGGGGAAGCCCCCGGAGGAAAACTCCGTGTTGCCTAGACCACGGCCTTGCCCAACACAAGTTATAAATTCGGGCACCGCCGGGAATCGAACCCGTTAATAAAACCAAAATCAGTATACATAATTAGTATAATGAAAGCCTATAAGTACTTTACTGTTGGTTTTTTTGCGTTCACGTGATATGCACGAGAAAAATAAATGTCGACTTTAGTAACGTGTTCTGTTGAAATTTACCGCAAAAATGGAAACTAATAACAAGTTTAATTATCTGGACGTTGCATTAACAGGAACAACAGACAAGATTGACAATGGAATACACAGAAAACAAATGTTTACGGATATAATCATTAATAATCACTCGGGCCATTCAGCAGAATATAACACGATGCTGCACGAGATCTGCAGCATAACAAAGCCCCGCCAAGCTGAAAGCAAGAGTTAAATCACATACATTCAGCAACGAAAAGCCATGAATACAATAAACGATCCCAAACAACGCAGAGCACAGATCAACACAGAGGAATGAGACGCAGTTAACACGATAAGACAAATAATAAAGATAAAATGAGATACTTTGACTTTCTTTAGAAATAAAATAAAACATAACAATTATTTATTTTTAATCCGTCTTATCACAATATTTAAAATTTCT